TGATAACTTAGGAATTGAAAATTATACTATTCACTTAAATGAGAATAGTTCACAACAAGATATTATTAATGAAATTGATAATTTAAATAAAGATAAGACTGTAGATGGAATTCTTGTTCAATTGCCATTAATAAAGCATATGAATGAACAAGAAGTTTGTCAGGCGATTATACCAAGTAAAGATGTTGATGGTTTTCATTTAGAAAATTTAGGTAATTTAGCATTAAATAGGGATGGAATTATTCCTGCAACTGCTTTGGCTGTGAAAGAATTAATAATAAGAAATAATATTGAAACTTTTGGAAAAAATGCAGTTGTAGTAGGAAGATCTAAACATGTTGGTTTACCTATTGCATTACTTTTACATGGTGACAGTAAAGGTATATAATATAATGAATATGTGATACATTAATATTGAATATATAATTGTAAAATCTATGAAATCTTAATATTAAATTAATTCTTAGATAGAACAGGTGCATTAGATATGACTACAACTATATGTCATCGTCATACTCCTCATACTGAATTAGAAAAATTTACAAAATTGGCAGATTTAGTTGTTGTTGCAGCTGGTATACCTGGTTTAATCACTAAGGAAATGATAAAACCAGGAGCATGTATAATTGATGTAGGAATTACAAGAATAAAAATGGATAATAAATATAAAATAGTAGGAGATGTAGACTTTGAAAATGTAAAATCAATTGCTGGACATATAACTCCAGTACCAGGAGGTGTAGGTCCTATGACTGTAGCAATGTTAATGAAAAATACTATTTTAGCAGCTAACAAAAATTACGAAAACTCAAAGCTCTCTAATCTTAATAATAAGAATAATAATAAATAAAAATTTTGATCAATAGTTAAATATTGAATAACAATATAAATAATAAAATATATATACTAATATAATTATATTATTTTAATAGTTAGAGATATAGAATTAAAAATAATAAAAATTTTAATCATAATTTTATTATATTATTTTTTATTAAAAATTTTTATTCATACAAAAAATTAAAAATAAAAAAACTTCTAAATATTTTTATTTTAAATATGAATCATAAATGCGAAAAAAGATATAAAAAAATGAATTAAAACTTATAATAATAGAATATTGCAATACTATATGTATAATATTAGTTTTATTAAGAAAATTTTCAAGATCAGATAAATAAAAAAAATTTAGATTATAATTGATTATAAATATGAATTTATTTATAAAAAATTTAATATCATAAATAAAAAATAAAAATATTTTAACAGTAAATAAGGTTATATCTTTTTCACTTCATAGTATAAAAACTAAATAAAAAAATAAATCTTAAAAGTATATTATTAAATTAAAAATAATAAAAATGTCCTTATTTAATTTTTCTATCTTTGGAAAATTAAATCAAACTAAATCTTTACTTTTTATTGCTCTCAAACTTTCGATACATAATCAGAAATTTTTCACGTCAACAATAAAAATGTATCGACCAAGAGTTCTAATTACACGTCCGGATATTCCATCTGTAGCATTAAATTTGCTGAAAAAACAGTAAGTACTTTTCTATAGATTAAAAAAAGACTTAAAATATATTTTATTGTTTTAATATGTAAAGTATTTTTCATATGTTTTTCATATTGTTTTATATATAAATAAAATATATAATATATAATAGTATTTAATAAACATATAAAATTTATATATGTGTATACAATTATATTTTAATATTTTCTTCAAATATTTTTTACAAATATTATATTTTCTTTATGAAATTATTATGAAAAAACTATTTATTAATCTTTATAATTTTCTCTGTTATATTTTAGATGTGATGTTGTTCTATGGGAAAAACCTGAACCGATTCCTAAATCTGCATTATTATCAAAAATCAAAAATATAGATGGTATTTATTGTTTATTAACAGATAAAATAGATGAAGAAGTATTAAATGCAGCAGGACCACAATTAAAAGTTGTGGCTTCTATGTCAGTTGGTGTTGACCATTTAGATTTACAAGCCTTAAAAAAAAGGAATATTAAAGTTGGTTATACACCAGGCATTCTAACAGATGCAACAGCTGAATTAACTGTAGCATTATTATTAGCTACATCCAGAAGATTAATAGAAGCAAATAGAGCTGTTTATGAGTATAAAATAAAAATATATTCTTATTAAATATTTTAGATTATATAATTAAATATAAATTTTATTTGAATTATAATTTTTATAGGGGTGAATGGAAAGCATGGTCACCTACTTGGATGTGTGGACCTGGATTATCTAAATCAATAATTGGAATAGTAGGATTAGGTCGTATTGGTATTCAAGTAGCAAAATGTCTAAAAAGTTTTAATACTTCTAAAATATTATATACAAGTAGAAATGTTAAACAAGAAGCATGTGAATTTGGAGGAGAAAAAGTAAAGCTTGATATATTATTAGAAAAAAGTGATTTTGTAATTGTTACAATAGCTTTAACTCCTGACACAAGACAGATGTTTAACCAAAGTACATTTAAAAAAATGAAAAAATCTGCTGTATTTATAAATGTCAGTAGAGGAGAAGTTGTTGATCAATCTGCTCTAATAGAAGCTTTAAAAAATGGAATAATTAGAGCTGCTGGCTTAGATGTTATGACTCCTGAACCTATTCCATTAGATAATGAGCTACTGAAATTAGATAATTGTGGTAAGTGTAATAAAAAATATTTTTATATAATTTATATATATATTTAAATTTATTAAAAAATTCAAAATTCATTTGTATTTTAGTGATATTACCACATATTGGTAGTGCTGCTATAGAAACACGAGAGGAAATGTCAATAATTACTGCTAAAAATATTATAGCAGTTTTAAAAGGAAATCCAGATGAAATGCCTACTCCACTTCAATTATAAGAACAATTTAAGTTAAATATTATAGAAAATTATTATTTTATATTTTATGGTATTTTAGTATATGATATTATAGAATATGTATTTTATAATAAGTTATTAAAGCAGGAATAATGAATAAAGAAAATTATATTAACAAGTTTAAAACTTATATTGATATT